ACCAGATGTCACAGCGTGACAGAGGCCAGCACTTACTTACTAAAAGCCCCCCATCCCACCACTATGGAGGACGGGCTGAACGACCCCACTCGGCCCGGACCCATCTCCTTGCAGGCCCACCTCTTTTGAGCGGGGCCGCCGCAGCCGCCGATTTAGGATTGGGATGGCTGGGCGGCGGGTTTGACAGCTGCCTTCACTGGCTGCTCTTTCTTAGAGATGGGGCTGTCTTGATTACGTTTGGCGGCCTTACGATCAGCATTCATTCTAGCGACTTGACTATGAGGCCGCCCGAAGTGGAAAGCGCCTCCTTGGCTGGTGATCGCTACACGATGCAGCCTCCACTCACTGGCAGGCAGTGGCTGCATCCCTGCATTGGCCAGAGTGACCACATAGCCAGCAGGAAGTTGGGCTGCCATAATGCAGGGGGCGGCGACTTCCATAGTACGGTGGTAGAAGGTACGTACTGAGTTGGGTGTTATAATGATTGTGCCTGGCATCAGGGTGCCAGGGTGGGCAGCTCCCCTCCCTCCATGATCCCAGAGACTGGGGATCAACCACCTGCAGCCGCCCCAGCCCCGACGCCTTCATCATGCTCCTTGGGGACCGAGCCGAGCCCCTCGATGCCACTGTCCCCATTGTCCCCGATGTCGCCGTCCTTCCTCTCCATGTGTGTCCTGGACGACACGGAGTTCGATCTGGACGACATGGAGATGGAGGTTGGCGACCTCTTTCGTGACGAAGGGGGAAGTGTCGGGTAGCTGGCTCGGGCCCTGGGCCACCTTCGGGCAGTGTCGGGCGCCCCGTCGGGTCCCATTGTCGGGGGCCTATAAAGCGGCCCCCCTGGCCAATGCAGGATATCCACGAAGTAGTTGCACACATGAGCAGAAAAGCTGCAAACAGAATGAAAGCTTACTATGACAGAAATGCAACACTTTCACCATTCAAAGCAGGGGACAAAGTCTACTTGCATTACCCCAGGAAAATTAAAGGCATTTCAGCTAAGCTAATTTCTAGATGGGAAGGGCCTTACGTGGTCACAAACATAATAAACGACTGCAATGCGAGAATAGAGAGCAGACAACCCCGCTAAAAAGCTAATAGTCCACATAGACAGGCTAGCAAGATGTCCAGACGAAGCCGACGACAACAACATCGCTAGCGCTTGGTTGTTGTTTACGGAATGAGCGCAACCATCTTAGCACTCGAAAAACTCGAACTCGATCGAGCGGCGCGAGAAATTCAAATCGGAACCGGTCGCTAGGAAGCGGGTACCGGGTACCAACCGGTTGCTAGGCAATCGGGTAGGTCGCTAGGCAACGGGTAGGCTTAACGAAAACAAAAGAAGGCTACTGACGCTATCTTAAGCCTAACGGTATTCCCCTCGGTTCTGAGAAAAGCCAACGGACGCGACGACTCATTTAAATTATCCGGAGCAATCCACGTAAAGTAAAGTGAAAAACTTGGTGAAAATGGAACAAATTCCAGAGAAGAAAAATACTTTTCAGTATTTAAAAGTAATAGTGCCAGAGAGAAGCGAGGAACGGAAAATTCTGGAAGCAAGGAGACCCTCCAAGGGACTCACCAAGACTGAGAAAATGGACCCAGAAAAACTGGATAAAGTGATAAATAATGTCAAGAGAAAAATAGGAGAAGGAAAAGAGAGCTGGGAGGCAAAAAGAGCCAAACTCATGAAGCCGGAAGGGGACCCAAACCT